ATAGGTACTGGGGGTGTTAAGTCTCACCATGTCATTCGGGATGTGTATTCTGGTGCAAGAGTTGCTTATCCCATGTCACGAAGGGGTGCGCAGCAACATGCGCGCAATTTCAGACATTTTATGGGACTTAAATCGTCTGAGTTGTCTCCCACATGCCTTATCAAAATGGACGAGGCGGGCGAGCTCAAAGTCGCAGCCGAGGAAGTAGGCCTGACCCCGGACACCTCCCTGCCCAACAGGTGGCCCCACAACGCCAGCCTGGAGCGCGATGTAAGGGAAGAAAAAGAGTGCTGCCGCGCAGTACACCTGCAGAGTGGTTTGCCTTACGACTTCCACTCGCACTCCTATCCTTACTCGTGTCTTTCGCTCTCTTTTGACAGGGAGTCGAATCAGGGAGAAGGCAAGTCCCAATGGGAGGCTCTCACAAAGGAGCCGTTTCCAGGGGTCAGGGCGTGTTTCGGCCAGCTTGTCTGGTACAGAACGAAACTCTCCAAGCTCACGCTCGAACCCAATATGTCTCCTGCGCTGTTCCTTGGATGGCGCATTGATGCAGGCATGCGATATAGGAACGTGGTTAAGGTCTTAGACTACCAAGCTTTTCGCAATAAGAGGGATGTGCAAGTCCATGACGTGCCAGAGCCCGAGCTCTTCATCGAGGATGGTCCTCCCATCTTCCCTGTAGCAAATGCAACTCGCAAGTCTCTAGTAGACGGCTCGGTCCTGGAGGGTGCTGCTGCCAAAAGCGCACTACCCGAGTACTCTCTACGCGAGGTACCCTTTCCACCCAGCAAGGACCCAGTCCCTCCTCCGTTGCGGGACACAAAGGCCAGGGGGGTTTACATCACAGTAGAGAGAATCATAAGGTTCGGGGAAACTCCGGGATGCAAAGCATGTCGTGGTAAAGCCGTTAAGCACACAGACGAGTGTCGTGAGCGCTTTGCTTCACTTGTTTCTGCTGAAAGGGATGAGGAAGAAGCCAAGAAAGCTGCCAAAGAAGGACTGTTGCCTCCAAAAGCAGACTCAGCAATCGAGCGAGCCGCTTGTAGTGATGAGGCGCTCGTTAAGGGCGACAGAGGACCATGTCCTTCAGAGCCTTCCGCTCCGGCCTCAGCTGCTTCACCCGTCGTTGTGACAACTTCTGGCGCCGCAATCCCTCCGTGCACAGCCACACAGACTCCTCTCATAGAGTTGTCTGGCCCCAAGCAGGGTTTGCCTGTTTTCGGTATGCCCGCACCTGTTCCTAGATTCGGAAAAGGCAACAACAGGCGCAGCCGTAGGCGCGCAAGGACAAACACCAAGCTTGCTACTTGCTTTGAGTATGCATGTTCAGAAGACTCTATGTTAGGTAGGGTCCATAAAGAACTAGGGGTTCCACATGTTCGTCTTTCAAAAGAAACCTTAGACGTGACAGATCCCATCATCTCAGAGCAACTTCATGTGCAGCTACGGTCTTGCCATGATCCCCACTTGTGGGCTTCCCTCCCATGTACGTCAGGATGCCCCTGGCATCGAATAGGATTGAAGCTACATGGTTCGGATTATGCTGCGCGTCTGTCCAAGAAGATTCGCGTATCTCGGCAGATGTTTGCACAGTTCAAGGAACACGCCAAGACTGTTCTTGATCGCGGAGGTCATGTTACTTTTGAGTGGCCCCGCTACTCAGATTCATGGAAGCGGTCAGACGTCAAGGAGTTCTTCCAAGACTCACGCTTTAAGGCGGTTGATTTTGATGGTTGTAGGTTAGGTGTAGTCGGCAAGAAGGGCCTCCCTGTGAGAAAGCCCTGGCGCCTCATGACCACATCTGATGAGATCGTCAAAGCATTCACCGGCCTTAACTGCACTCACCATCCCAAAGAACACGGGGAAGCCAGGGGTGCTGCTCTCGAGCGCACCGGCTTTTACACACAAGAAATGTGTGAGCTCATAGCCCGAGCCATGAACCCAAAGGTGTCCCATAGGATTGTTCCTGCAATGCCTGTGATACCTATGCAGCCACAAGAAGAGCACAGAGATCGAGAGCAAGACCTCAAGCACGTGTCTTCTCTGTCTGGTCTTGACGACCTCGCAGCAGTCATCGAGACAGATGAAACTGCAAAGGAACTTGTCACTGAGATCACAGATCTCAACGCTCTCATGTGCTATATTCATGGGCTCCCAAAGGGTAAGACCGACCCAGAGGTTTCAGCCATGGTAACTAAGTTACTCTCCCGTGCTGAGATGCTGTCCTCGCCACAAGCCCTAGAGGCCGTGCGTAAGGAGGCGGACGGTCTACGGGCTGTTCCCGTGTGGGATGAGCAGAACCCACGTGAGTTCGCCGATGTGCAAGCAGAGGCGCGACGCACAGGCACCAAGGTACATTTCGGGAAATTGATGAGCATCGCCTCTATCAAATTCTACGAATTGGCCCAACACCTTCAGAAAATGAAGGGCCGGATAGTGTATCGGGGTGACTGTGCAAAAGATGAAGAGGGTGCTGCCGCAGTCTACAGGGAGTTGGGTGCTAATCCCACTTCCGTGCAGGGCCTCAACGCCTGCATGGCTTATGGCGCACTACCAGGCCATACCACAACAGCAGCAGACGCAGTAAAGGCGTACGTGCAAGCACTGCTAAAGTCCAAGTTCCAAACTTGGATAGAACTGCCACCTGAGCTCCGACCGTCGTGGTGGCGAGAGTGCTTTGTTCGCCCTGTTGTGCTGTTGCTGCGCGCTCTGTATGGCCATCCGGAAGCTGGAGGACTATGGGAGCAACACCTTAAGGAAGTCTTAGGTGGTTTAGGGGGGTACGAATTGCAAGAGTACCCAGGGAACTTTTGGTTCCCCGAAACCCAGCTCCTTCTCTCCACTTACGTTGACGATCTCACTTTGTCCGGACCCGCAGAAAACCACCTTTTTTGGGACAAACTTTGCGCATTGGTTGATGTCGAACCGCCAGAACCAGTCTTTAGGGTTTTAGGCAGGAACCACTACGTCATTAATGCATCAGCAGAGAGCACCGAGAACGCTGCCCTAGGCGCGTTAAAAGGGGCTATGGCTTTTGACATGTATGACTACGCACAGCAAACGGTGGATCTCTACCTAAGCATCACCGGGTCTAAAACTCTAAAGGCTGCTCAGACCCCATTCTGCCCAGATGGCGCGCTCACTCCATGTGATGACGACATCTCAGGAGAGCTTGCTTCCAATGCATGCAAACTCCTCATGAAAGCCTTGTGGCTGGGCAGACTGGCTCGCCCCGACATAGTCAAGCCCATTGGGGACTTAGCCACGCGTGTCCAATCTTGGTCTAGGAATAACGATAAGCAACTCCATCGCCTTATCTGTTATATCAACTCGACCAAGTCCCACCGGTTGGTTGGCTCAGTTGGTGACGGCCCAAGGGAGCTGCATCTTGCGCTCTATGTTGACGCGGACTTCGCAGGAGAAAAGATAGACTCCAAGTCAACGTCGGGCGGTTACCTCGTCTTAAAGGGTCCTAAAACGTTCTTCCCTCTAGCCTGGGTCTGCAAGAGACAAACCTCCACATCTCGCTCTACCACGGAGTCAGAGATTGTGTCCCTCGCACATTCGTTGTTTCAAGAGGGCCTTCCGGCCTTACAGCTTTGGCAGACCCTACTAGGCCATGAGGTGAAGCTGGTTATTCATGAGGACAGCCAGGCCACGATCCTCGTAGCCCGAAAGGGTTACTCTCCCAAGCTCCGGCATATCCAGCGCACTCATAAGGTCAACCTGGGTAGCATTGCCGAGCAGCTAAGTGAGGAAGATGTAGAGCTCACTTATGTCGAAACCACCTGGCAAGCGGCCGACATATTCACTAAGGCTCTTCCTCCCCAGAAATGGGACAATGCCCTCAAGCTCCTTGGCATGCGCCAAAAGCTTCCAGTCGAGCTTACGGACATACGGGATCTTCAAGCCAAGCCTGGTTCTGCTCCTAAGACTACCAAGGCTAAAGGCTAGCTGCTTTGAGCGCTGCCTGCCTTTTCTTTCTCAACTCATAACGTAACACCCGCAGAAGCCATGTGCAGTGGGGGCTGCTCTTAGCGCCCTTGTCTGGAGGCAGTAAGCTTCCCGTGGGCAGAGCACCCTCACAAGCACAGGGTGATGTACATAGATGCCTTCGGTTCCTCTGAAGAGGGGGGAGTCAAGAAATCAGGGCTCCAGAGGCCCCTTAGGACCGTAGGCAGAGGCTCTTTAGTTAGAGGCCCCAGAGAGTAGGAATTCACTTTCGATGCTACACTTTGTTTGGCTCAAGGTAAAAAGGCCCGCTAGATGCCCTTTAGCTTAAAGTTAAGGGTCGCGGCCGGGGTTGATCCCAGTGGGGTTCCCCCTCCTTTGTTTCCCCCTAGGGTGTTCCACGCATACTTAAGTCCCCAAGCCCTAAACGCCAAACCCCAAATATTTGCTGGTTCTTATCGCCAAGTTTCAAAAGACCAAGGCACCAAACTTGGACATCCTCGGACTTGTTCGTCTTGGGGCTTGTTAGGGTTCGTCAAGGGTCCTTAGGGTTCCTTAGGGTTCCTTAGGGTTCCTTAGGGTTCCTTAGGGTTCCTTAGGGTTCCTTAGGGTTCCTTAGGGTTCCTTAGGGTTCCTTAGGGTTCGGGTTCCTTAGGGTTCCGGAATTGCAGGTTTTCTTTTTTGGGTTTGGGGCCGTCATTCTGGGGCTGTGGTTCTGGAGTACTGTCGGGGTACGCGTCGATTTGGGGTATGTGCTGACATGTTGCTGGGGGGATGTTGCGACCGTGCTGCAGAGATTTACTTGGGCCGGGGTTGTTTAGATTCGGGTGAAGGACCCCAAACAAATCTGTCGTATAGGGGCGATTGACAAATCACGACAGCGTCAGACATGAGCCAGAGGCCCCACGAGTTGAAGTCCAACAATAACCTTAAAACCGCGAAGCCCTAAACCCTAAGCCTCAAGCCCCAAATCCTAAGCCCTCAGAACATCCTTCCTAAACTTAATCCTAAGTCCGAAGCCCTGCCAGCTTCCGGGGGAGTTGCGCCAGGGCGCAGCGCGCTGCTTCTCAGCCTCGCTTCCCGGGCAGCTGTAGCACGCGCGCTGCGGCTTGGCGTTCCAGGCTCGACATGTTTAGGGTTTAGGGTTTAGGGTTTAGGGTTTAGGGCGAAGCTGGTCCTTGAAGCCGATCTTTCTTCGCGTTTCATGCAGCCGGCGGCCCACATGGGATGTCGTTAACAAGGTTTTTTGGAGCTCGGGGTGTGTCGAAAAAACAACGGCTTTGTGAACATGGTGCCCCAACGGCTGCTGGCAACTAGGTTCAGCGCACTCAGCCGACAGCATAGTTGGCCCGCAGGAGCTCGCAGAAATGTGCAACCGGTGAGGATTCGATTCCTCGGTGTAACTATAATCTGGTGGTAAGCCCAGTACGGACAGCATCGGCTGTGAACGTAGCAGGCTGCTAAGTCCTCCGGAGGCTCTGAGCTTGAGGTTCAGGGTTTTGGGGTTCGGGAATCTTATTTGTGGGTTTTGGCGTTCGGTTTAGGGTTTAGGGTTTAGGGTTTAGGGTGTAGGGGGTTTGGGCCTCAAGGGTTTGGGGTTCAATTTAGGCTTTGGGGAGTCGGGCTCACAGTTTTTGGAGTTTATATAGAATTCCGGGTAGGAAACTGAACCCGAAACCCCAAATCCTAATCCCAAAGCCCTAAACTTGTCAATCCTCAACCTTCATCCCCCGAACGAGGTCAAGGTAGATGGTTTACGGAAAAGGGTTTAGGGTTTGGGGGGTTAAGGGTTTCGGGTGCTTCTTTTGACTCCTTGCAGGCTGCGCCGTGGACTACCTGCCGGACGCGGAGGCGAAGTTTGGCTTGAGACGCACTCTGGCTTTGGGTGTTAGGTTGACTCATGAGATTTTAGGGTTTGGGCTGTTAGGTTGGCTCAGGAGATTTTAGGGTTTGGGGTGTCAGGTTGGCTCATGAGGTTTTCGGGTTTGAGGTGTTAGGTTGGCTCATGAGATTTTTGGGGTTTGGGGTGTTAGGTTAGCTCATGAGATTTTGGGGTTTGGGAGATTCTAGGGTTTGGGGTGTTAGGTTGGCTCATGAGATTTTCGGGTTTAGGATGTAAGGTTGGCTCATGAGATTTTAGGGTTTGGGCTGTTAGGTTGGCTCATGAGATTTCGTAAGACAAACCCTAAACCCTAAACCCTAAACCCTAAACCATAAACCCTAAACCCTAAACCCTAAACCTAGGGGCGCCGTATTCTCGCAAACGCCCGTGGAAGGAGCAGGCATCCTCGTACACGGTGACGGTGGCCCCTGCGGTGCTGGACGGGTGGCACTGGGAGCAGCATTCGGAATTGTGGGATCAAGCTGTGGAATTGGGGTTTGGGTTTAGGGTTTAGGGTTTAGGGTCTAGGGTTCAGGGTTTAGGGCTTCAGTCGGTGAGGGGGTTCAGGTTGCGGGTTGCAGGAAACGAGGGTCCATGGCTGTTGAGGTTCAGTTTGCGGGCTCTGTGGGATTGCTTTCAGCCCAAAGCAAGGTTGAGCAAGGGAGGGCACTCACAAAAAGGCTGCACTAGAACCCCCTCAAGCTTCCACTTGTCATGCTGGCACGCCTCGGCATCATGACACCGCGCGAGCTCGCCAGCAGCAACATCGAGGAGGAGCACCTCAAGGACTGCCTCATGATCGGCAAGGATCTGCTCCACTATTGGACTCACAGCCTGCCTCCACAGAATGCCTTTTGGTCACGTGGAACAATCGCCTTCCCAGGCGCTTGCAGTGACTGGAGACCGGTGATGCTCAAGACTGATCCAGGCTCAGTAGGTAAAGCGCCGCGAGGTCAAGACCTCCTGCGGCTTAAGGCTTTGCATGGCGTAATGGGGTTCAGGGTTGGGCCAGCCCAGAACAGTTAAACGTGGCCGCCACTTGACTTCACACCTTCACACTTACCAACACGTTGGGTGATCACAAAACCATGTTTTTTCACTCTCTCTGGCGGGCTACGGCAAGTGTTCCACAAGCTGAAGGGGGATTACAAGGCCCGTGTGGCTGCTGAACCATGTTCTCCACATGTGGGCCCCCAGCCTGCGGGGATTTGTCTGGACTCTTGGAGTTTTCGGTGGGTCTGGGACACCCAGCGCCCAGTCCCTTTGCTCCCCCGTAGGTGCGACAGTGTCTATCCCCTTTCCTCAGTTCCTCACTCCTTTCCCTGTAGCTCCGTCCCTCTCCATGTATATAACTTCTGCCGTGCCTCCTTTCTGCGCGCGTGCTCTTCCACTCGACCATCGTGCTTCTGTGATGCGATCCCTTGCCACAGGACTTGGACTGAGATGTGGATGTTCACCAAGCTTGTGCTACAAAAGCAGTGAAAAAACAGCCGGCATCGATTCCAGTACAAGGCTTGTGCTACAAAGCAATGAAAAGCCAGCCTGCTGACGGAAACATCGATTCCCGTACTAGGCTTGTGCTATAAAGCAATGAAAAACCAGCCGCCGAGCCCAGTACTGTGGCGACATGGCCAGTACTAAAAATGTACACGGTGTGGTATCATAGCTTTGCTACCCTGGATGTGTAGAATTTACCGATAAGGTTCGCGCTCGGGTACTCGCGTTTACGACCGGTTTTTTGCAAGCCCACTTGTCATTCTGCGACTGTCGGCCCGTGCCTCCATCATGCGAACTTTTTAGTGTGGGTTACCGTCCTTCTGGCACCTCGGCTGCCGCGCATCGTTCTTGCCAGACCCTTTTCTTGGCCTGGAGCCGGGAGTCTGGAAGGTGGCCAAATCTGCCGTTGCCTTGCTTGCGCGTTGCACTGTGGAAAAGTACGTATCCATTCCACCTGTCGTCTCAGTTCTCGTTGCGCACCCTACGCGTACATACATTAAGGTTGCTTGTCATTCCGCGACTGTCGGCCCATGCCGGGTGCCCAAGATGCTGGCCCCTTGCATCGTGGGGTTTGGGTTACCGTCCTTCTGGCATCTCGGCAGCAAGATGCGTCTGCCATCGTTCCTTCCAGACCCTGTTTCTGCGCATTGCACTTTGGACACGTAGTCGTCGTTCAGTTCCCATTGCTATTCCGGCTGCCCAAGATGCCGCCTCTTGCGTCACACCGTGTGGGCTCTTTGGGCATGAGGCCGAGTTGCCGTCCCCCACACCTCGGTGGCAATTTGCACTGCGTTGCCAGGCATCGTTCTTGCCAGACCCCGCTTTTCGGCCTGGAGCCGGGCGCCTGGAATGCTTATCAAGCCAAATCTGCCGGTGTCTTGCACGTAGCACTGTTGCCGTCCGCAGACCTGTGCAGCCAACGAGCTGTCTGTATGAGTATCAGATCTTGAAGGCCATTCGTTCCTTTAAAAGGGTCGCTGCTCCCGTTTTCTTGCCACTGCAGTTGACACGCTGCGGGAGCATCTCCATGGCTCTCCATCCTAGCTAGTTCGCTGTCGGCATCCTCGCGGGAGTTGAGGTACTGCCTCATGTTGCCCGCATTCCGGTCCTCACTCCTCCTGCACAGCTCGACGCGTATAGCGTCATGCTTTTGCCTGGCCTACGCTTCCAGCCTCGTTGTTGCTCCGGCACCAGGAGGGCGGTCTCATGTTGAGTCATGTTGAGTGGCAACCCAGGCCATAGGCGAGCAGCCTGGTGCCCTAGTCGGTTGCTACTAGTACTTTCTTCGCCGTAGCTGTTCCTGGTCAATGGGTTTCCCAGCTGCGCTCCCGCCTGATGCACATTTTAGAGGGTCCACGCCAGGAGCATTCACGCCGGCGCCAAGTCAGCCCCAAACTCACCCGACACCTGCCAGGCCTTCCAAGTCTGTACATAATTACAGTTAGAGCTCCAAAACCATGCTTTTCGTCGGCCGGCTCTGCCCCGCCACTTGCTTGCCGACTCCCTCATCGGTGTGGCTCCGAAACAATTAGCAACGTGGTACCCTCTGCAGTCACGGAAGTTAAATGCAGAGTGTCCCGGCTGACTTGTATGTGCCTTGATGCAGCAGAATGGGAACCGGCGGGCCTCCAAGTGAGTGTGGCGGTACTGCCGCTGCAACGTTGTCCTCGCCAACGCCTCAGCGTTTCGCCACATCTGGATTGTGGCGCTGCTGATGCGTGCTTCGCCTTGACTCGCAACTTCCTGGCCCGAGCCCTGGTTTGAAACATAGCGCCCTCGCACCTCCTTCACTGCTACTTTTTTGGCTCCAGCTTGAGCTCTGCATCTGCTGCTTAACGAGGTTGCTACGTTTCGATCTTCAGCCTGGAGCTGCGGGCCTGGGATGTAGGATAGGCTGGACTGCCGGTGCACTGCTGCGCTGCAGGCGTGTTTCAATCATCCAGACCCCGAGACTCTGGCTCGCACTTCTTCCGCTTTCTGAGCTTCTGAGTCTTTGGGGCCTCTGACCCCCTCTCTGTCCTCAAGGATGCTTGGCTGCACTAGTTTACCTGCCATCTCGAAGCCTTCGCGACGGCTCCGGAGTCGCTCTGAGATGTGGGGGGGGGGGAAGATGGTGTCGGCCGCAGAAACATCTGTGGGACAATTCGCTCACTCCCCCCAAACCCTAAACCCCTAAACCCTAAAACCCTAAACCCCTCAAACCTTTTACACTAAACCTTAAACCCGAAACCCCTTAAACCCCTTAAACCCCAAGCCCTAGATCCTAAACCCTAATTTAAGCCCGCGTGGACGAACAACCCCAACACCTCCCCTCCCCTAACCGTTCCCTCAACTTCCCCAAGCCCGATGTGCCCAAAATCTAACAAAAAACCCTAAACCCCATGACCTCTGAACTCGACCAAACATCCCACCCACAGGTTATTACAAGGTTCTAAACCCTAAACCCCAAACCCCAAACCCCAGACCCTAAACCCTACACCCTAAACCCCAAACCCCAAACCCTAAACCCTGAACCCTGAACTCCATACACAGGACCTGCGCCACAGCGCCCCGGCCCAGCAAAGTGCCGACGCCCTCGGCGCCTGGCTCGCGGGCGCGGGCTGCGCGGTGCTGCGCTGCACCTTGGCCAGGGGGTTTGGATGTGGTGGCTTATGTTTAGGGTTTCGGGTTTAGGGTATAGGGATTAGGGTGTAATTAGGGTTGAGGGCCGAGGGTTTGGCAAGATCAAGGTCAACGCTTGGGGCTTTGGATCAGGCGGTTGGGGAGTTGAGGGGGTTAGAAGGCGAGGGGGGGGGGGGATTGGTGTTCTGAGTCTAGGGTTCCGAGTTGCAGGTTTAGTTCCTAAGCCCTAAGCCCTAAGCCGGAAGATTGCAGGATTTCCAGGTTCAGTAGCCTTTTAGAGGATTTCCAGGGTTCAGTCACCCTTTCGAGTTGACAGATGGCTCTCCTGTTGTGAGCTTCTGGACCGCAGCCCTGCATCCCAAACCGTTCCCCGCAACCCTGAACCCGCAACCCTGAACCCTCCACCCTGAAACCCTCCACCCTGAAACCCTCCACCCTGAAACCCTCAACCCTGAAACCCTCAACCCTGAAGCATTCAACCCTGAACCCTGAAACCCTGAATCCCTCAACAACCCTAGACCCTGACCAAACCCCAAACAACCCCAAACCCTAAACCCCAAAACCCTAAACCCTAAACCCCAAACCCTAAACCCTAAACCCCGACACCCCACAGTAAGCCCTCAGCAAGGCCACGGCCACTGCGTGGAGCTAGGCGATGCAGAGAGCAGGCTGCCACGGGGTTGTTTCTATACTTGGAGGTTCATGGTACTTGTCAACCAATTTTATACTTACGCCGGTACTTTTTGCCATATTAGGGCAGTTTTTGGGGGCTTTATGAGTGGGTTTAGGGTTTAGGGGTTTAGGGTTTAGGGTTTAGGGTTTAGGGTTTAGGGTTTAGGGTTTAGGGTTAAGGGTTTAGGGTTTAGGGTTTAGGGCTTAGAGGGCTTACGTTGACTGACGTGCTTCTGGGTTTCCTGGTTTTTCCCCAGCCCTCAACCCTGAACCCCAAACCCCAAGGCCTAGACCCTGAACCCTGAACCCTAAACCCTAAACCCTAAAACCTAAACCCTAAACCCCAAACCTATAAAGTTCCTCAGGCACTTCTCCCAAGCTGACTCCCGTGTCCGGGAGGGTCTCCAAAAAGATGATGTTTTGGGGGATGTCGGGGTTGAGATGTTTTGGGTCAGGGGTTCCCATACTCTCCTAACAGCTAAGGCATTAGCAGCCCACACTTTAATCCCTAAACCCTAAACCCTAAACCCTAAACCGTAAACCGTAAACCCGAAACCCTAAACCCTAAACCCTAGTTCTGGAGGTTAAGTGTTTGGGTCTCGAGCATCCAGGTCGCAGGGTGTGGGGCTTCGCAATTGCCTCGGATCGCAATTGCCTCGGAGAGGCACGAAAAGCGACAAGAAGTTCTCGAGCCGAAGCCCTGAACCCTAAACCACCAACCCAAAATTCTCAAACACCACCACTGCCCCCCCCCCAGACCCCCCCAGACCCCACCAGACCCCCCCAGACCCCCCCAGACCCCCCCAGAGCCTCAGTACCGCTGTAGACTCCTACATCCCAATTCCTGTTGGCAGACTGTCGCAACACGAATCGCCTAAACCCTAAGCCGTGACCCTAAACCCTAATCCCTCACAAGCCCTGAAGGCTTCGCGCCCTGGCGCTGAACGGCGCTGGGTGGCAGGGCCACGTCATGAAGGTCCGCCGCGAGCCGCCAAAAAGGGTT